TTACAGCAAACATGGCTGAGTTGTGTTTGCACATGAACAGTTTTCAAAATACAAACCATGCATCAGCCATATGCAGGCCCCCGTTACACTATGCAAGGGGAAGGCAGAGTTTGAAGAGGTTGCATTGGAGGAAGCACATCCAGTACTTAATTTGTGCCATGGCTTGTGCACTTCTAGGCTTGGTAACTCATAGCCCTGGTACCTGTGGGCTTGCTGGATCAGTTATGAATGTAAAAAAATTGCATACGCTCTGGCCCATCTTTCATTACACATTAAGCACGGGGCACATCACCTGCATTAAGCTGAGCTTTGCTCCTTCTTTCTGTGGTACTTATAAGACCCCCCCATTACTGTAGAATCTGATCAACAGATTTATCTCCTGTGAGACAGGGCACGGCTATCATCCCCCTTTTGCAGGTGGGGAACCGTGGCATAGAGAGGCTAAGTGACTTGCTCCAGAGCAAAACGGAAGTCTGTGATAGAGGAGGGCACTAAGCTAGTGCTCTGACCACTGGACTCTCTGTCCTCTCTACAGCAAATCTCTGTGGTCAGTATGCAGAGAGTAGAGGTAGACAGAGCAGTGGCAGGCCAGGACAGAGACCAGTAAGGTGCCAGCTGTTGGAATGTGGATGGATGGCCCCTTCCTCTCCCCCACTCCTTTCAGAGAGCATGTTACAGTCACAGCGGCTACAACAGTCTCGGAGTTGGATTAACTGTCTTGAAGCTACTTGGGCTGGCAGCAGGACTTGAGGAACTGGCCAACAAGGGCAAATTTCGGAGGCGTTCCCAGATGAAAGCATTAGATGGTTAGGAGGAGCCATATGGTTGTTAACAGCTTTACTTGCAGCAATGTCAAGTCGCTGGTGTTTAAGTACAGCTTACAATATTTATTGAAATTACAGAATGTGCAATAGTGGGACACACTAGATTGGCTGTCAGTGAGTTGCCAGTTAATGATCTAAAGAGGAAAAATATAGCAACGGAGTCACTCGGGGCCTGGCTGTGCCACCCTCATTCACAGCAAGGCTAAAGAATGACTTGGACTACGTGCCTGCACAGGAGAGTAAGAATCTCTGTGTGCCCCTGAATGGGCTACCTGGGTTTTGACTCGAGGCATGCACCGACTTCCTCCCTCCGCAGAGCAGGTGGGTGCAGAGAGATGGAGAGTAGGAAGAGCTTTGGCTCCAACCCCACTTACAGGCTGGTGCAGCTGAGTTGATGCAGGATATGCTGTCATTTGTTGATGGCATCAGACTTCAGTGAATGACTCCACCCCCCACCCCCGTGCTAGAACAAAGATGAAGCAAGGCAGGAACTGTGCCTCTGGAGGTCTTGCTGAGTCACCTCCCGAGGCTGCTCTTGGGTTGGAGCAACTTACGCACTATCCCTTGATCAGGGCTGTGCTTGAAGTCCAAATCTAGCTCGCCGACCAACCCCTTGCTCCATATGCAGCTCCACTGATGGCACAAGGCCCTTGATTTCCATCACCGCCTACCTTCACCCTGTCTCTTCATCCTTATCCCAGCACACTTATGAAGATAGAGATGCATCTTGAAATGACATATAATGAGAATAGACTGTGGCTTAATTGTGAAAATCAATACACTGAGACTATCTAATGTGGAATCTCAGTCAGCCAGTGCCTGCTGTTTTCACGCCGACTAGCTGTTCCTATCCTGATCATAATAACTAATGCTGCATCAAACCATTGTCTACAGCAGTCTTTTATCTGAAAGCATTTCCACCCATTGCAGTTCCTATGGGCATGCTGATGCAGGTGAAGTGGGAGAGAGACTGCTGATAATTGTACCTTGGGGTCATGAAGACCTGCTCTGATCAGTTCGACACAAAAGTATCCTTAACTGAGCTTTCTTATGTGATATTTCGAAGATGGTTGAAATTGCAATCATCCTACTTCAGGGGTGATGACAGAAAGTGCTGTGCTAATTGTAAACTTGCATATACAACCCAGTTATATAGTGCACCTCATTTACCACCACATCACAGGGTGTAACAACATGTACAACATTATGCTGAAATTGGAGGTGAAGTCTCAGAACATTGCATTTAATGCAATTTAAGAAAATCAGATTAGTTGATCGTAATGGTCCCTTCCAGCCTTAAAATCTAGGAGTCCAATACAGCCAAGGAAAAATAACTGGAATCACAGTGGATTAGTTCAGTTGGCTGAAACTTTGCTTGCAATTAATCTACCCCAAGGTCTCATTATTTCCCTGGCTTTAACCACCAGCTCTGTACTCATGTTCTATGGGCTGGCTTTGAGTGGAGAGAAGAGAATGGTGCGGGGATTTCTTGCGTGAACTGTTCACCTGCAAATGTCATCATTTTAAGTTGTTCTCTATTGCTCCGAATGAAACGTTAGGTCCCGATCCCGTAATCGACTCCACTAGCAAGGAGCCCTGAGCCTGTCTAGAGTCCCGTAGCAGCAAGCAGTCACTCTAGCACATCCAGTTGCAGCACATCCAGTTGCAGGACAAGTCTCGTGCTTTGGCACAGCAATGTGTATAAAAGAGAGGGTTGTGAGTGAAAGCTTCCTCTTCCATTAATTGTTACTGTTATGAGAGACAGGTGATTGTGGAGAAGATATCCAAACTATGGCACACCTAGTGAACTGTGGCACTCTAAGCTCCTTCTCCAGGGGGACAGCCTTGGTACATTCCATGTCACTGCAAGCTATAGAGTGGAGGACAAATTTGGATGTTGACCTTTATTGTTGGTATTCAAGTTGTTATACAAATGAAGAAGGGCTAATCCAGAGCAAAGTACGGGGCTCTCTGCTGCCTTCAAGTATAGTTCATACCTGTTACCTCCTGGTCCAGCAGTAGGCAGGGTGGTTTCTGAGCTGGGTTGGGGAGATGGAAGGGTTCTGAGTGGGATCAGGAGAGGTCCTGAGCCATATGGAAGACTGGCTGGCGGGAGAAAAAGAGGTTTCAGAGTTGGGGGAGTGGTTCTGAGAATTGGGTAGGAAGTGGGATATTCTGGGCCTGGTGAGGTCGTGGGAAAGGAAGGAGTGTTGAGCATTGGAGGAAGGATAGGCTGTAGAATTTCCACCTTAGAAAACACCAAATCATTAGGGACATTTGTTGTTGTGTAAACATGCTACTTAAATTAGCTAATTTGCATCTTTGTGATTGATAAGCATATAACCATAAACTTCTGATTTTACAACTGTTATTCATGGATTTAGTGGTGGTGAAAGGCTACGGTGAAGGAAGCCTGCTGTTTATCTACATGGAAACAGCCGTGCAAGCTGCCCCCACGCACTGCCCTGCCCCAGCATGTCTCAACACTGATATGGGGAGGGGGTGAAAGGGAAGCTCAGTCTTCCCGGCTCAGGAAGTTCTTGGCCTCACAGCTGAGTTTGCCAGAGAGTGCAAAGTATGGTGGTGAGTTTGTGATGTGGAGTTGCAACTGAAACCCATCTGCCCCCCCGATCTGCTTCCACCCCGCTCTCCCCCCCCCCGGGAATGAAAGAGGCTCCCCAACTGACCTTCTCTACTCAGAATGAGCGGGAGGGCACAGGATATTTCCTTGAACATGGGGCCTGTCTAGATGAAGTGGGGATAGGTGACAACCCAAGTGGGAGGAGGTTTTGGGGTTGGGCTGGAGGGAGATGAGTTGATTTAGGCTGGGTTGGGTTGGTTGAATTGAGTGCATGGGAGAAATGAGCGGGTGATTGTGTGTAGATGGATGGATGGATGGATGGAGAGAGAGAGAGAGAGAGAGAGTGTGTGTGTGTGTGTAGAGAGAGATGGTTAAGAACCAGATTGGAGTGGGAGAGAGAAGAGGCTGGAACAGGGAGAGACCAGTAAAGTCTCAGAGCAGAAATGCTGCTTCCTCTACCGTCTTTTACTGTGATGTGTCTGTTTTTCACCTTGAATGGAGGAGGGTGGTGGAAGAGGAAACAGCGGAATCCCTCTTTCCTATCCACTTCCCAAGTCCCCCCGCAAAACACCCTTCCCCAGGATACCCCTCCACCCCCACCCACCAGTAGTTTTTCACTTGGGAGACCTGGCCAAGCTGCAATAGAAGGTGATGGGGTGGGGTTAGGAGGCTCTAGAAGGAAGTGAAGGCTTGGCTACCTGCAGCCCTCCCACTAGCCATCATGCTGCTGAGTGACCCTCCCTGGCCACCCAAGCTGGTTTTAGGGCCGGTTTAGGAGGCAGGGCAAAGTAACTACATTGCACCAGGGATGCAAAGCCCTGTTCGGGCTGCACATTTCTCTTCATCTGCTCCTCAGATTTACTGTTCCATATCCACACTCCTGCTCTGCTCCTCTATTCTCCCTGTCTCCCAACGCTGCTCCTCCACCTCCCCCATCCGCTGCTCCTTCCCACCCTCCAGATTTGCCCCTAATGGCCTATGCAGAACCCCAATCTACCCCTCCATCCTCTCAGGCCCCCTATCTGCCCCTCCATCCTCCCTATCTGCCCCTGCAACCCCCTAATCTGCCCCTCCATCCATCTCCCTGCAACCCCCCTTCTGCCCCTCCAGCCGCATATCCGCCCCTCCCTCCTCTGCCAACCCCCATCTGCCCCTCCATCTCCCTGCAACCCC